CAGCGTCCAGGAAGTGGGCTCAGGGTCTTGGGCATTCATCGTAAAATCATGGTCGTAGGCTAAAGAGAAAATGGACCCGGAGCAACAGTACTAGCAGCAGCATTGTCACCTCCATCATCATCGGTGGTACCAGCCTTGTTATCGTGTTCAGTAGCAGTGTCATCGTGTCCATCATCTCCAGAAAAAGTGTCATCAAAAGTGTCACTCAGAATTGTCATCAAAAGTGTCATCAAAATGTTTATCAAAGTGTTCATCAAAAACGTCATCCTTGGGGTCATCAACTTCGTCTTCATCATCCGTAGCCCACCCTCGCGTTGTGACTGACATCGTGCCTTGTGAGTTCGGACGACACAACAGTCGGTGTAGATGGCGAAGTAGCCGGGCGAATATCTTGTGGGGGCGTCGTCGAAGTGTTGCTCGTGTCGGGGGCGTAAGCCACCATCCGACGGAGGAAAACATCAACGGGAGTATCCTCGTTCTGGTCCATGTTCACGTCTTCATCTTGATCCACCAGCAACGAGGAGTTTGACCGTCGACGCTTGGCACCGGACAGCGACGATGCCAGTACCGGGTCGTGAGCTGGGGCTTGGGCTTGAACTTCCTGCGGAGAAAGAAAGGACGACGACGAGAGTAGCGGCCAGCCACGGCCGAAAGGAACTAGTACTTGGAGTGGCGGAGTCTGCAGGATGGTCACGGCGTGTTACCGTGAATTCTCCTTCACCCGCTGGAGAATCTGGTGTGGTCTCCTTTTGCAATTTCGGCGTCGATTGTGTAGGGTAAATTGCTTACGAGGCTGCCCCACAGTAGAGGGTGTGCCTAGTAGCCGATGCCCGTTTGACAAACGACATGGCACAGGCGCATCCACTGTGAAAAATGTCCATGAACGGGATCCCGAGATGCCGCCGGTCTCGGTGCGCACGCAGCTCCGCAAGCTGCGGTGCAACAAAGTCGCACGTGACGCAGCAAAAAGTCGCTGCGTTGTGCGGGAAGATGGATAGCGTGGCCAGAGACGGGGCAGGCGTTGCACCATCGTCGATATCCGGATAGTCAGCCGGTGAACGTGAGTCTTGGGACTCGATCGTCCAACCGGGCGTGGGGGCGAGCGGGTCGGTAGTGGCGGCGTCGGGGGCAGCATCTTCGTCGGGAGCGGGGCCGGCTTGAACGGTATGAGGTGCAGGTATACTGAGCGGGGAGGTCGACCGGACGGACGTCTTGGACAAAAACGGGGCAGTAGTTGGTCTCCATGGCGGGATGCACAGCGTCGAAGATCGAGTCGTCGAAGTCGGGGCACGTAGCAGCAGCATCGTCATCGGCGGTGTCTTCAAATAGAACATCTCCAACATCTTGAAAACAGTCATCATGAGCAGCTTGATCCATAGCGCCATGAAAGGCAACACCTTGAGCAGAAATGTCGATGTCTTGAAGGGTGGTCCCGCCGTTGTCCGTCGGTTCAGTGAGACTGGCACCATCGACCAGACCCGTCGCGGCAGTCGCGAGCAGTCGTTCCCACGCGGCACCAGCTGTTGGATTTGCATCCCTAGCAGCACCGACACGAGCGTCGTCCTCGTCGGTAGCGGCGGCGGTGGCGTCCACGGCGATGTCCTCGTCGTCATCAGCAGCAGCAACACCCTCGTCCGTCGCAGCACTCGCGGAGTCGTCCGCGTCGCCGTCGTCGCTGAAGTGCCGCTCGAAACGCTCACGGCATCGTCGTCCCACGTCGTCACCTCGTTCGAAGGCGTGCAGCTCGCCGGCGACGGCGGCTGCGACCCACTATACATGGCACGCCACGCGCGAACAGCGAGAAGATGTCCATGGCGCAGCAGAGTACACGCAGCAGACACAGTTGAGTAGAATAAAAGAACACGAAGAAAGGTGCAAACCAGGCGTGTGTATTGTTTGATGTTGAGGTGGGGGCGGCGCACGCGCTCACCCCCGCTGACAAAAATTCTACTGTGGAATTACTCAAAAGAGCATTCCTGAACCCTTACAGCACCGGAGTGCAAGGGGCCTGCTCCGGCTCATGTCAACGCCCTCATTTTAATACGTGTATTTTGTGCCAATTAGTAGTCACCCGTGGGAAGCAAAAGCTGCAAGCGGGGGTAGACAGGACGGAAAACGTCCGAATGTAGTGCTACACCTATAGGCTATATGGCTACATTGGGCTTGGAACGGCGGTGTCCTTGCTGGAGAGTGCCGATGGGACCGAAACAGGTCCATGAACCACTAGTTCCTGGTGGCAGTGGCGACGGCACGACGTACCTGAGGATGACCTTGGTGCTGTGGGCGCGAGGGTCGCCTAGGCTGGTGAGTCGACCTTGAGCGTGGCTGTCCGGAAGAATGCGAGGTCCGAGTCAAGTGTTGATGTGGTGGGTGCTGTCTTGACCTTGACTGGGTGTCCGGAGCAGCAGATGAAGTCACGTGACCTCGGCGAGGTCCCCATCGTGTGCTGGTCCGGCGTGGAGGGACAGGAGTCGTGAGCGGCTGAGAACGTAGCGGACCCCACCGCGTAGATGCCCGACGTGGTTGGCTGGTTGAAGTAGAAGTCCTCGATGTAGATGGCACAGAAGTAGGTGTCTCCACCGGTCGCGCACATGGGTCATAGGTCCTGGTGCTCGGCGAGGTCGATGTAGCCGTGGGAGCCACAGTTGGCCTCGAGTTTCTTGACGTATCTCCTGAATTCAACTCTCCCGAATGTAGCCTCCATATCTTGTAGCTTGCCTGAACACATGCCACCGAAATCCGACGATTGAGTTGATTGGCATGCATCTTGGTCAGACGTAGCTGCTCCGTCAACACCTTGGAGTTGGAGGGCAACACTGATCCCAACGATCCGTACACCAAAGCTGAAACTTGAACGCGCCATCCCATCGTCTCCAGAAACTCCTTTGCACGCTGGTACTTGACCAACTTCTCGGCATGACGAACGCGCATGTTGCCTGTAGCAGGGTCGTCCGTCTTCTGAGCTTCAAAGGCAATAGCGAGATCACAAATGTAGGCGGTCCTCGAAGCCGCATCAAAAATCTGGATATCTGGACGCAGTTGACGACCCGGTAGACCCTCCACGTATGTGTCAAAGCAAGCCGTCAGACGACTGGAGGACTTGAAAACAATGGGCTCAACCGCTTTCTTGATTATCCCAAGAACACGGTCGTGACGACCATCAATGGCCCGAGAATTGCCTGGGCAGTGCTGAAGAACATGTGGGAGCGTTTCATCGTGATGGCATCTGGGGTGGCGACAGGTTGCACCCCCACGCTCATTCCAACGTCGAAGAACCGATCGAGTGGGTACCAAATCAACCCGAGCCTGCAAAGCAAAACGAAATTCTGCGTCGCTCATTCCACCACCACGAGAAAGAAAACAGCTTCCAACTCCACCAATAGCTCGCACAACGGAACTCTGGGCACTCAATCCTTTCCACCGCTCAAGCTCCGTCAGTTTTAAATGATGGCGAAGCTGCCTGGTGATGTCGCTGTGCGGTAGTGGTTGCGATCGATGTGGTAACTTGAGCTGCAACATCATTTCCACCTCAGTTCCAGCTTCCGTGAGCACTGTTTCCGTCGTCAACTTCAATCCACGGGTCGCAAGATGATTCTTGACATCCACCCATAACGAACCAATATCCCCCGACTTGCGCTTCTGACGGGCAAATGGAGAAGAATCGAGATCACCATTCAAAAAGAGCTGGATGGCAGTAGGTATACGTCCACGCCAATGGTCCGGGTCCATGGTGAATCGCTTCTGGATTGCCTGCCACACTTGCTCTTGAGCAATCTCACGAATAAGCACATCGGAGGAGTGCAGCATCTGCCAGGCATGACTTATCTGTAGCACAGCTCTAAGGTCGACAAGTGGAGTGAAACCCAAACCACCGGCGGCAACTGGAGCGTGAAACATTGCAGTCGTACTGGACTGGTTGAGCTTCAGAAGATGGCTTAAACCACGTGCCAATGCTGAGTCCACACTGTCCAGCTGGGTCTTGTAGGCTCGTACGTGTCGCAGCAGATAATCTGCTTTCGGGAAAACATACGTCTTGATCGCCTTCATCTTTTGCCACGGATCCAGTGATGAACGAAAAATCGGTGCCATCATGCGCTTCATGTCTTGCAAAACAGGTCCCATCGAGCCACGGTGTTTGGCGTGGTTGAAGCCATCACCGATACCCAGGTACGTGTACCCTTCCGAAATCTTGAGCGACGGAATGATGCCACCGTCTAGTGTAAGCTCCACTTGATCGTCACGTAAATGTCCATGTGTGTCGGTCTTGACCGAGAGCGAGGCACACTTGGAAGCATTGGATTGCATGGTAGACCACCGAAGAAACTGGACAACGACCGAGTGTGCCTTCTTGATACCGACGGTGGATGAGCTGAATGTCTTCAAGTCATCTGCATATGCTGTCACCGAAACCTTACGGTCAGCCGTCACGGGCACTCCAATCTCCGGAGCAAGCTCTTGCAACGCACGGACGAGGGGCATGATGCCAACCAAGAACAAGTAGGGCGACAGGGGACAACCTTGAAAAACACCCATCCGAAGCTGGATCGGGTCCGTCGCACCATCTGCCGTGTTGGCCACCGTAAACGACGCACCATCGTAGATATTCTTGAGACGATCCACAAACGAGACGCTGGCACTGGTAGTCAGCAACACACGCCAAATCAGCTCCGGTGGCACCGACCCAAATGCGTTCTTGATGTCATACCAGACCATGTGGAGAGGACGAGGGCGTCTCTTGGTCTGGTCGATCACAGCCATGCTCACGAAATTGTGCTCGGCGGTACCGTTGACACTTCGAAACCCTTTCTGCGAGTCAGTCAAACGGCCATTTGCTTCCAGCCAGCGCTTTAGTCGCCTCGCCAACATGTCCGAGTAGAGCTTGTAGATGCACGCTTGAAGGCAGATCGGTCTCCAGTTACTTGGTTCACTGGGGTCACCTTTCTTGTAAATCAGCTGCACCGATCCTACTTTCCAGACAGCAGGTACCTTTCCATGCTTCCAGCATACACCATAAGCAGCATGTAGTGTCGATAACAACTCGGGTAAATAGTTCTTGAAGATGTCATGACCGACACCATCCATACCCGGGCTGGAGTGTGCATGGGATTTGTGAACAGCAACCTCCACATCATCTGGCGTGATGTCCATCGTAAGAGCATCCATAGCTGCAGAGGCTGGCGGAAGAGCAGACAGAAGCTTTCGAAATGTAGCACCAGCCCTGTCATCGAAATTAAAATCACGCTGAGGAGTGTTAACACCCTGGAAGTAGTCATGAACAGCTGCTCTTGCAATCGGACAGCGCGTGGGAGCAGCTTCTCCACCAGTGACTTCGGGATCCGGTGACGCTTCCGACAGAACTTGCTGCATGCACGCCTTCTCATGAACCCGAAACTTCTTCCGCAACAGAGTGCGCTTCATGGCTGACCGAATTCGTCCCGCACGTCGTCGCGCCTTCCGAATAGCAGGCTGGGATGGCTGAGATCCATGCTGAATGTTGTCCAAATGGTCCAGAGCTTCGTTCAGTTGCTGGTTGCCAGGTGTTGGAGGTGGTCTTTGACGTCCTCGCTGGCGACCTGAACTCAACTCTTGTCGCCGTGGATGACCTGGAGGTCGTGGTCGCTGCGAAAATAGCAAAAGAGCAGCGTATAATGACGGAGTCAGCGCTGCGAGGTACCCTTCCGCTGTTTCCCAATCGTCGGCATCTGTGAGCTTGTCCGCAAAGTCATCAGCAACCTGCTTCACCGCCAGTCGAGCTGCTTCAAGCTCATCTTCACTCAACTTGGATCGCAACTTCAATCTGGACTGGCGGACTGGAACGCTATCAGCAGTAACTGGAAGAACTGGAAACGTCCGGCCTCTGTCCCGGCGGATGACATCAGCAGCAGCATCGTCATCTTCCAGATTGTCTTCAACAGCTTCATCTCCACTCTAAATGTCCATATCTACTGGTCCAGTAGCCGAAACAGTAGGTCTTCTGGAGGTCCCAGCTGCAATCGCGGATCCAGTGGCGATAGCATGGGTGCTGTAACCGACGCCATCGATGCCATGGGCAGAGCATTCCGTCTTGGTCCGTTGAATGTCCAGAGCCCGGTTCGCCAATCTGTCTGCAGCCTGGTTCTCCATCCTGTCAACGTGAATCAACTCGTAGTGGTCGAAGCGGTGGAGAAGTCGGCGAGCCTTGTTGCGCGAACGCCGTAGTTGATCGTTGTTGCAGGAGTATCGTCCACGCACTTGCTCCAGAATCAATGCACTGTCACCCTTGACCGTGAGACTGCTCACACCGTGATGTAGATCCCCACTGAGACCTTTAATAGGAGCAATATACTCAGCAGTATTGTTGGTGTGCGTTGAACTGGGCAGGAAGCAAGCAACGTTCCACTTGTTCACTGTGCCTTGAAATAGTGTGGCACCAGCTCCTGCACCTGCACCGTGTTGTCTCGAACGGCGGCGAAAAGCTCCATCGAAAAACAGCGTCCATGCAGCGGACTCAGGGTCTGGATCTGGCATCGCGACATCGGGGTCTTGTGGTAGAGTAACCTCACTCGGAGTAACATCATCAGCAGCAGCAGTATCGGTGGCGCCGTCATCATCATCATCGTTTCCATTGTCTACGTGTTCATCATCGTTGCCATCGTTTTCATCGTTGTCATCAGTAATTATATCAAAGTCATCGTTGTTGTCGTCAAAATCATCATCTTTGTGGTCGTCAAGGTCTTCAGTAACTCCAGTAGCAACATCTTGATTTTCTTCATCATGTCTTGGAAGTGTGCAGATCACAGGAACCGCCGAGGAAGGTGCAATCAACGGTTGCTGAAAGTGTGTATGCTTCGGCGAAGCTGAAGTAGTGTCAGGAGCGTATGCCATCATACGGCGGAGAAAATCATCAACTGGCGCAGCACCGAGGTGGTCCATGTCGACATCTTGGTCTTGATCCGGTACGAGCGAAGGGTTCAGACGGCGACGCTTGCATCCTGTAAGCACTGTCACATGCTGCGTTGAAGTCCCACTGGAGTCTTGAGTGTCTGTCCGGAGCAAAGAGACACGAAGACGAGAGCGAGCGGCCAGCCACGGCCGAGAGGAACTAGTGGGTAGAGTGGCTAAGTCTGGAGGAGGATTACGGCGTGTCACCGTGGGCCCTCCTCCAGCCGCCGGTGTGTCTGCTGTGTGTTGTTGCTGCTGCAGTTGCGGCGTTGAAGTTGCGTCACAACGTACAGTCTGGGCTGTCCCACAGTGGAGGCTGTGCCGAGTAGCCGCAGCCCGTTGGGCAAACGACATGGCACAGGTGCATCCACTGTGGAAAACATCCGTGAAGACGGTCCCGCGGTGCTGCCGGTGCCGGTGAGCACGTAGCTCGGCGAGCTGCGGTGCTGCAAAGTTGCAAGCAATGCACCTGAACACCGCCGCATTGTGGGCGAACACTGATAACGTTGCTAGTGACGGGGCGGCGGGAACGTCCGTGGCGAGAGACGTGGCGGCGACGGTAGTGTCAACCGGTTGACGTGAGCCGGGAGGCTCGCTCGTCGAATCGGGCACAAGCGCGAGACGGGTGCTTGTAGCAACGCGAGCGGCAGAAACGTGGTCTCGAACGGGGCCGTTAGCGGCATCTTGAGCATGAGAAGCTTGGTCGTTGTTGCTGGTAGCTTGGACATGTCCCCCATTCCCAAATTTTCACGGTTCAGCTCAAGCCAGGCTTTTTCCCTTCGGGGCAGTCAGTCGGAGGGAATCCTCCCCTAGGGGAGCCGACGGGGTCGAAGATCTGACGCGGGCGCGCTGCACTCGCAGTCGCGGGTGTGGGCGTAGGGGACCGACGGGTCGCGTAAGCGGCCAAGCAGGGGTGTTTTATGGACTGGAGGCGTACCCCGCGCCACGTGTCGCCGCTGCGGCGGCGCACACTCCACGTCCGGGGGCCGCGTAAGCGGCTGCAGGGGGCCACCATCGCAGATGGGTGAGCTCCTCGGGGAGAGATACGGCGGGTTGGCGTTCTCCACGCCACGCAGTCACTTCGGTGATCGCACTCCACGTCGGGGGCGCGCAAGCGGCTGAAGGGGGCCACCATCGCAGATGGGTGAGCTCCTCGGAGAGAGATACGGCGGGTTGGCGTTCTCCACGCCACGCAGTCACTTCGGTGATCGCACTCCACGTCGGGGGGCCGCGCAAGCGGCTGAAGGGGGCCACCATCGCAGATGGGTGAGCTCCTCGGAGAGAGATAGGCGGGTTGGCGTTCTCCACCACGCAGTCACTTCGGTGATCGCACTCCACGTCGGGGGGGCGCAAGCGGCTGAAGGGGGCCACCATCGCAGATGGGTGAGCTCCTCGGAGAGTCTCTTTATAGGGACCAGCCACGATTAGCCTCCGGGTCTCCCGGCGCTCACTTCTGGCTTAGCAAACTGCAGAGGTTAAGGCGCATAGTTAACACCGTGCAAATAGACCATCTGAACAACAAAAAAAAAAAAAAAAAAAAAAAAAAACTTGGACATGTCCTGGCAACGCATCTGGGACGTGAAGGTCAGTCGCGCAGACGGCAGTGTCAAAAACGGGACAGTCGTCGGTGGCCGGGACGAGAAGCGTCGGGTCGAAAATCGAGTCGTCGAAATCGGGACAGGTATCGATACCATCGTCGTGAATACCATCTTGAAACATTATATCTTGATCGTCTTGAAAGGTGTCGTCGTGAACGGCGTGAACAGTATCGTCGACGCCGGTAACACCTTGGGCAACGTCGTTGCCGATCCCATCGGTGTGCATGGGGTCAGTCAGACCGGCGCCAGCGGGAAGATTGGTGCTGCCCATCGTGCACAGCCGGTGCAAGTCGGCACCAGCTGTTGGATTTGCTGACCCGGTGGTCTCGACACGAGCAGCGCCCTCGTCGGAAGCGGTGGCGGTGTCAGTAGCGGAGTTGTCGTCGTCACACCATATGTCAGCAGCACCAGCAACAGCGTCGTCCGAGGCGCAGTCGTCGTTGTCGTCGTCATCGACGTCACTGAAGAATTCGCTCGCAACGCTCAGGGCGTCGTCGTCTCGCGCCGTCACCGCGCTCGAGGCCGTGCTGCTCACCGGCGATGCTGGCGGCAGCGAACCGCTGGACATGGCGCGGTCGCGCGCGAAGAGCGAGAAGATGTTCATGGCGCAGCAGAGTACACGCAGCAGACACAGTTGAGTAGAATAAAAGAACACGAAGAAAGGTGCAAACCAAGCGTGTGTATTGTTTGATGTTGAGGTGGGGGCGGCGCACGCGCTCACCCCCGCTGACAAAAATTCTACTGTGGAATTACTCAAAAGAGCATTCCTGAACCCTTACAGCACCGGAGTGCAAGGGGCCTGCTCCGGCTCATGTCAACGCCCTCATTGAGCAGCGTCAAGCACCAGTCAGGTAAGTATGAGTTGATCAATTAAGAACACCTATGCCCTATACATAGATAAACACCCGTACGAACGGAATACTTGACTCCTGAGTCTGGCTCTTTTCTTCTGAAGGTGAGATAGACTCACACAGCTGTATGTGGAACTTCTGCTCGATTACGATTCGCTACGCAGATACCAACTTGCTCATGTTGTGCCGATATTTAGCGGTGTTATGCATACATTCGTTCACTGTACCTTGAAATGTGTACTGATCATTCGGAATATCGGAACTTGACAATAGGAAAAAAACTGATGTACAATCAAACAAATAAATATCACGGCGTCTGATCTTAAATTTGCGGGTAAGTATCGAATGTTGTGGTTAAAATGGACGACGAAAATTTAGACTCATCGATTCTTGTATGATGCGCATACAACCAACACGGTCTTACTCGCAAATACGCCTTTGATGATAGTTCAAGGTTCTTCCCTGACAACAGTTGGATTTGCACTTCTTGAACCATTTCAGAAAATTTATTGCAAGATCCAAACTCCGCGACGATAGGTGTCAAACGTTCTCACCGCTCTGATGAAATTAAGTGTGTAAATACTCACAAATGTGTTTCCTCTGATGCATATGCGGCCAACGAGGAGCCTGCTCCAGTTCATTTCGAAACGAATAGCACTGTCTTTGGATCGAGCACTCTCCGAAAGCATGTAGATATGCTACGAGCGATGGGTGGATTTGGTCGCGATCGCTCGTAGAGAAATCTAAGATACGGGATGTACACTATACTGGGCTTGGTTCGGCCGTTGTATTGGACCATGCCCTTACATAAGTAGTTATGATTAAGTTTACACGTTACTTAATTAGAAGAGTCTTTATGTGAATCAGCGGATGTAGCACGTTTTTTCTAGCGGGATGAATGGGGTTAGACAAAATATTAGCCAGTAAGGTATCGACACGTAGATCGAGCGGATCCCATGAGTCCAAGCAATTCATTTGTACTTGGGATCGAAAAAGACAAAATATAAACCGAGTTAAATTTGATTAATACCTAATACTTGGGCTTGAGGCTTCTTCAGGCTTACTTATGAGTTAAGTACGGGTCGTTCTAGCCTGTTCACAGCAATGGTCTCGCTAAATTGTGTGTGTGGTATTGAAAAGATACATGAGCTACTAGTTCTGCCACCGTCGCGATAAACCCGGTTGTGGCGTCGACGATGATGTCTTGTAAGTGCTTGAGACGGTCGAAACGCTGGTGGAGTAGAATGTCCGGAATGACTTGATGTCGTCGAAGATTGCGGAGCTCTTTATCTCTGCTCCGAGATAAACAAACCCGCAGAAGCTTGAGTAGAAGACGCTTGATAGTCGGCGTCGCTTCAATGTATACGAGTAAGACGTGTCGATACCAGAGGCGTAGCCATATGAGCGTTATATGGTCCTTACTGTTTGAATTTTGAAGTGGATGTTTGCAAAAGCAAATCCCTGCGATGAAATGGTAGAAGGCTTGTGGCGGTGTCAGACTTGAAGACGTCGCACGGTTCCTAGTTATTGTCCGACTTAGACTCGCAGAGGAAGCTATAAAAGATTCTATCAGATTGTCTGAAGGTATCGCTGAGACAGGTCTCTACCATTATGCAGTCATTCATACCATGTAATTTGCTTGCAAATCACGCCACAGATACCCGACGTTCGAACTAGTTGGTGGTAATTTTAGTGAGATGTAGCTGCTTCGTTAAGACCCTGTAGCTTCTAAAGCAACACTAAAATCATTTCTTCAACCGAAGTAAGTACGCACCATCTCACTGTCTCCTTGAGATATTTTGCACGCTCTTAATTTACCATCTTCTCGGTGTTACAAACTCTCATATTACTCACCATTACGATATTAACTTGTTCTATGCTATAAATGCAACAGCGAAGATCACACATTTAGTCGGTCCGAAAAGTCACATCAAAAGAGCTGGACACCTGGCATCAGTAGGTCGACCTAATAGACCCTCCACAAACGCGTTATAGCGAGCCGTCAGACGAAAGATGGTCTTAGCAATAATGAAGTTATATATATTTGTGACAATTGTAAGCACACAGTTATTACGACCATCGCTGGAGGGAGTGTTGCCGGGAAGTGTTAAAGACCATGAGGAGGGGCCCCAATATGATGTCATAAATGGTGGTGACAGGTTGCATTCCCTCGCATATTTCACCGTCGAATTACCGAGCGAGTTGGTGCCAAATCAACTATACATAGGCAAAACGGAATATCTGCGTCGCTAAGTCCACCACCACGCCAGAGAAAATCGGTCTTAACTCTAAGAATAGCTCCCACAGCTAAAAGCTGATCGCTTCATCCTTGCTATCGCTCAAACTCAACCTACTTCAGTTTCAAGAGTGAGAGAAGCTCACTGGTGACATCTCAGTATTGTAATGATGCGACAGATGTTGGTACCTTGAGTTGTAGCGTTAGATCCACCTCCTTTCCGGCAGTTGCTAGCAACGAATCCGCCGTCAACTCCAATCCACGGGACGCAAGATAATAATTGACGTCCACCCACAACGAAACAAAATCAACATATTTTCTAATGACGGGCAAATAAGATTTTGCCAAAATCCCCGTTCAAATAGATCTGGGTGGAATCGAGTATATGCCCACGATAATGTTGTATGTCCATATCAAAAGCTTCCGGATCACCTATCACACCTGCGCTTTAGCAACTTCATATACATAAAAATTTGATGAGTACATTATATGCCATGTATCGCTTATACAATGTGAAGACCAGAGGGTCGACGGTAGGATACCCTCAAGCCACCTGCGGTATCTTGCACCGGTATTCAACAAAACAAGGCAAATTGACTCAGTCCAATTCGATCCAAAAGCATTCTCGATGTCATGCCAGACCATATGGAGTAGTTTAGGACGTCGCTTAACCTCTTCGGTCACGGCCGTGCTCACACAATTGATGCTCAGCGGAATATTATATGCGTCTGAGTCCCATTTTAAAGGTCTTAAAGCATTTATTTGATTCTACTATATCGTAAAGACGTCGTACAAGTAAATCGAACAGAGTTTGAATACACACGCTTATACGCAGATAGTGTAGATAGTTAGCCCATCCGGATCGACCTAACTTAAAAACTAGCTTAATCGCGCCAACTTTCCACACTAATGGTACTTTTCCTTGTCGTCCAACAAACCGTAATGACGTACTAAGATACGGAAGTTATATTCGCCAAAATGTTTTAAAATCTTCGTGGCGGGGTCCATCCACCCGCGGAATGGAAGGTGTACTTATTTGCATACAGCATACTTTACCTCGTCCGTCGGAACATTCACAAAGAGATGTTCCGGATTTACTGAATGTAAAGAAAGATCCGACTGCAATATTCGTAATATAGCACGAGCCTTCCATTAAAATATATATGATGTTAAGGAAAATTTAAACTCTGAATAACATCCAGTAGCCTACCTCTCTCTCGATTAGGGAGCGTGTCAATATAACAGCACCATAATTATAATAAGCCCAGCGGCTCATAGAAAATACTTACTGCATGCACGCCCTAACGAAATAAATTTATTTACTCAGTACCACGCCCTTTATGACCAATCGAGCACAACCAGACCGGTATCATGCCGTCCGAATTGCTGTGTCTTAATTAATTGGAAGCTCAAATCAGTATCTCAAATCTGTCAGATCCTATACAAATTGATATTTAGCGGTATTCTGCAGTGACGTTCCCCGTATTTGCGGTCATCCTTTAAGTAGGATTGATGTTAAAGGTGAATTGGTAATCACATAGATGCAAAACGCCTTGATGATACCCCATTAAACGACGTAAGCACGGCAAGGTGCATACAGACGAAGAAGTGCTGTACCGGCGATGTCGATGAGCACTTAGCTGTGCGAAAAGCTAAGGCCAATTTTCCATATGTTGTAGTGTAAATAATTACCGCGTCATTTACGAATATACACAGTATGTTCGCGAAGGAAATGAGGTGTAGATCATTGTCAGGAGTGAACGGCTATTTGGAGTTTACCACCTGGTCTTATGCTTCATCGATCACACGCCCAACCGGGAACCCATGCAAATTAACCCGCGACAGAAAAATTGTGCTTAGAATATTAATCCATCGCGCTGCATATGTAGCACGAAGCACGTGCAGTGAACTCGGTCTATTACAAATAAATTTGAATCGTTCGGTTCGTTTATAAGAAGCACTTAAATATATGGAAAATGCCAATCGGAAAAGGCTCCAGTGTTCGAATTGACAAAGAAATTATGCACATAGTATTTTATATTTATAAGTCATATTTCTTCTTAATGAGCTTAAGGGCATCGCAAGACATATATATATTCACTTTGTCAGACATTACATTGCTATATAGTATCAACGGAAAGGATTTTATGTCTACATCTATAAACCACTAATTAATCCATATAGTAATAAATTTTCATAAGATCAACTACATATCTCGATTTATTCATTTCTCAATTTTTAACCTCAGCTTTATACATTACATCGGTCGTATCTTAATATACGAGTACAAATTGATTGTAGTTTGTGGCAAATAGAACCCTGATACATTAAAGAATCATTTAGATTTATTTACGTTAAGCGTGACTACAATGAACGTAAAAATTTTACTTTTGCTAATTATTATCGGCAAATGCCTGCTATCAAACCTTATAAAGGATGCTTTACGAAAGCTAGATATAGGGATGACGATGGAAAGGTCTTCAGAACTTCTTTAATATATATACATATATACATATATATATTGTATATATATATATAATCTTGCTACTTT